CACAAATCAAACAACAAAGTAAAGGAAATGGGACAAGGAGATGTTTTTTTAGTAATTTAATATGCAACATTGTTGCATAAAGAAAATAACAAGAAGATAAACATTTAAAACTTTGAAATTTACATTTAAACTGACGAATTGCCAAAATAAAACAAGTGAAATTTAGATAATTATCTCTAAACCCTAAGTAACTAAATGACAAAATGTAACTTATCTGAAGTTAGCCATCACTTCAAAGTGAATAATTAAGCATAAACAGAATGTGTTTGAACTTCTTTCATGTGGTGTTTCATTTCATGACCATGTGCAGGAACATTTTTTTGTGCAGTCTGCATCTTTTTTTCTTTTAATACAGTATTTAAAAACAGAGTGAATCATTTGGACCTAAGCTTTTCTCTCTCTAGYGGCAGCTGTGATGCGAGCCATTCAGTGGTTCGTTTGCGTGCTTCGTCCCAGCTGTATCGGGGTTCATATCCTAGGTCCTTCTTGGCCTTCTGATAGGAGAAAGTGAATTTTGTGTTTAACAAGGTGAGCAGCTGTCGGCTGACAGGCGGGACAATGCGTATGAAAGGTCGAAGCATCATGCAAAGTGTCTCCAAAAAGAAACACAACACGTAGAAGAAGCGCAGTGGCAGTGGGAGCTTGTCCTGAATGCTGAAGCCCAGAGGAGACATCATAACGTGGTTGAAATCRGAATAACTCACAGGTGGCGTGTCATCTGAAAGAAAATAAACTTTCCCTCCGATGATTCTCCTTTTCCGTGGATCTTTCAGGCTTCGAGCTGCCTGCAGATGACCAAAGGCCACATTTCCAACATAGACAGGGTTAACGTGAGCCTCTCGTTCAGACATACGATACAGAACATCCTTGTTTTGTATCCCGTCTCTCATGTGACCCAGCAGGAAGCGACACCCATCCCCGTAGATGTACGTGGGTCTGAGTGCACACGTGGCAAGACGGCCTCCGTTCTGTAGCACCTCACCATTTGCCCGAAGGGTTCTGTCCTCAGCCTCTTTTTTGGTTTGGCTGTAGCYGAACTTGAGAGTGCTGTCATAAATCATGTCCTCATTGCCGTTTATTATCGAATCTCCTCTGGGGTTTGGTCCCATCACTTCCACCGTGCTGGTGTAGATGAAGGAGACCACATTCTCTTGGATACATGCTTCCAAAAGCAGCTGAGTTCCTGCAATGAGCACAAGTTCAAACAAAATGGTCAGGAATCACCATTTAGCTTTGGCAGATCTAGGATTTATCAGTGTAAGGGGCCATCAAGGGACCACAATATTCATAGAGGGGCCAAGTATTTGTTCAACATTCTCGCACACAAATCTCCAGTTTTTGTAAGGTTTATACATTAAATTAGTCACACGTGTTCAGACACTAAAAATTGCCCAGTGAATTCTCCTTTTCAATTTTACATGATTTTTTACTGTACATAAATAAAATACTCTCAAACACGTGAGAAAATCTAGCCATCGTTGTAAAAAACTTTCTTCTGCAGGATTGTTCAAATTGAAAAAGACTTCTGCAAGCTTGCTTCATGCTGGACTTTCCTATTTGACTCACTGGCACCACTAGTGGTTGGAAGTGGAACTGCAGCCACCATCATTGTTTTTGGGAAACGACAGAAGAGTGAAAGGACAGGCGCCCTTCAGGGGGCCAATTAGATTTCAGATGGGGCCAATGCCTCTGTGGCCCCGCCCCTAGAACCGCCCCTGCCATTTAGGATTTTTAAAGAATAAACTTTCTGAAACCGAAGAAAGCGTTATTTCAAGTGGAAGTTTCATTGACAGTCAAGATGTCCTGAAACTAAAATCCCCATACAGCCTAAATTTATTTCTATTATAAGCTGCCTTACCTTTGACATTGACTCCATAAAGCTCATTGTACTCCACCGACCCAGTAACATCAATGATGGATGCAATGTGGAACACCGTTGAAGCACCATGTAAGGCTTTTCTCACAAAATGGGCATCTCTGATGTCGCCCTCAAACACGGACAGTGTTGTCTCACCTCTACAATCTGACAAAGAGTGAATAAAAATACATTTTTATTAATTTACATAAAAGTATATGTCATGCTGCATTCAGTGTCAAACATGAACAAAATGCTTTAATTTATTACATAAAYTGGGCATTGAAAGTTACATATTTTACCTCTGAAAAAACTATGTTTTTTGCTTGGTTTTACTAAATGCTGCACTCTGCATGCTCACTGATTCTTTAAAAGAACATTGTGTGAGATTTAGTGCCATCTTGAGGTGAATTATCAGAATGCAACAACGTGAATACCCCACATTACCCCTCCCCCTATTAGGTAAATTAAAAATAAATAAATAAATAAATAAAAGTGATGGAGTCTATCTCAGACATGAGGCCATTGTGGCTAATCTTGTTTAAAAGTTTCAACAACTAAGCCACACCAGTGCATRCAAGCCCCATGACCCATTATTTTATTCATTGTTTCAGGGTCATTATMTAGTCTAAAGGGAACCTGTTTTACTGAAACATGGTGACTCAGATGTGAAGGACCCAAGATAAAAACAATAATTATGTAGATAACACTAAATAACTAAATAAAGCAGCTGTCTGAGGGGCTCATGCGGCAACAAACACAGAACATAGAAGATGTAGCTTCATGCTTCAAGGTCTTCCCTAACTCACTTTATTTTTATCAGTGAAAGGTAAAATATTKCCCTTCCAGCCTTTAGAATATCATATTCCAACAGCAGATTGAGTAAATCTAAATTTTGCAGTGTTAGATCAACACTTAAAGAGTTAAATTTAACACTGTGTCCGAGTTTGTTTGGTCCATATCTGAATTAGTGTCAATTTAACTCTAAACAGAGTTAAAAATTARCACTGACTAACACTGTACAGTGTTAATAAAACTTAACACTACAAGTCAAATAACTCTTAATGAGAGTAATTTTGATTCTAAGCAGATCTGATTAATCAGATGGTGACAAATCAAATTTGATTGTCATGCTTTTCAACACTGCATTGACTTATTGATGGTTAACACTGGAGGTTCATATACCTCCTATGAGTGTTAATTTGACACTCGACTGTGTTGATTATTTACTCTTCTGCTATGTAGAGGGGTGTAAAACAGACACAATGAAGTGTCGTTACACAGCAAATTTGAAGGTGTAAGTTTAACACTTTAGAGTTAAGATCAACTCTTTTTAGTGTTGCATTAACGTTACAACAAAACAACTAACTAGAACAACTATTTTTTACACTCATGAACTTCTTTAATAGTCATAAACATGAAAACACATCATTTTTACAAGATTACCCAGCATCCCTTGCTGAGAAAATACTGGTCTGTCGGACATGAGGTGTGAGAGGGCGGGCTTTTTCACAGTGCTTCTTTCAACACTGCATTGAGTTATTGATGGTTAACACTGGAGGTTCATATACCTCCTATGAGTGTTAATTTGACACTCGACAGTGTTGATTATTTACTCTTGCTGTGTAGAGGAGTGTAAAACAGACTGAGGTGTCATTACAGCAAATTCCAAAGTTTAACACTTCATTGTTAAAATCAACTCTTTGTAGTGTTACATTAACATTACACATTAATATCTGGATAAGTGTAATGGAGTCGACCTTCACACACCAGGAAGT